TACAAGTGCTTCTGTATTGCGGACAGAAAAATAAATAAATAAATAAAATCCCAAGAATATGGCATTTTGCATTTAAATTTACTCAAATCACAGCTCCATCATTACTACAAGAATCAAATGGATTCTGTGTCTGCTGCCCTCATGCCTCCATCACCTCTCTCGGGGGGGGGGTTCACTTGTGGGGGCACTGAGCTGGGCTGGGCTGTGGCTTCCACCACTGGGGAGTTCAGATAGCGACCTGGATGCTCAAGGGCCCTCTGTCCTGGATGCCTGGATGCCAGGCTGGAACTGCAGATCTTTTGTGCATTGCTTAATTCAGAAGGCCCATGCTGGGCAGCCTTGCAGTGTCCACATACAACACAACTCCTATGGATTGGGCAGCGTTAGGCTCACTGGTTTACCCTTCCTGTCGGCATGCATGGTGAGTGCGTCAGGCTGACAGTTTCACTTCTTTCTGTGCCAGACTCTTACTTGCAAATAACTTTGGGTTCATCAAGTTCCTTCATTGCTCTCTATTGCAGATCCTGTTTTTACACTCACATCCTGTGGGTCTCAAGGCTTCCTACCTAGCCATCCTCAGCCTCCCTTTGGGCCCCCGTCATCATCGCCCAGCCCTGGGACTGCAGGTTACTGGAGGCACAGCAGTCTTTGCTCCTGTGCAAACAGAGATCTTAGTCAGGGTTTAAGCAAATATCCACAGGCCAAGGGTGAGCCGCTCTCTAGAACGCAGCTCCCATCTGCCCTGATGGTTGGTCATGATAGTTAGGGATGATAGGAGTTGTCATTCAACAGCATCTCACAGGCCACAAGCCAGAAGCCCTGAGAAATCCAGGTAGCCATTGATCATTGCACATTTCCAAGTAGCCAAACAGCCTGCAAAACCCTCTGTGTTTCCTCTCCCCAGAGAAGACAGATCTACCTCCTCTGATCCCGTTCCCTCTGTTTGTTGTTGTAACACTATCCATTTGACCCCTCACACGGAATGTGGGACTGAGACTCAGGGAACCCAAGTTGTAGTTCCCACTCAGCCAAGGAGTCAACTGGGTGACATCACAGACTCTCAGCCCGGCCTACCTCACAGGGTTGTTGTTACTGAGAGCATAAGATTTGGAGAGGAGGAGAATTATGTAAGCTCCCTTGAGTTCCTTGAAAGGAAACAAGCAAGATATAAACATAATAAATAAATAAATAAATAAATAAATAAATAAATACACCCTTCCAAGGAAGCAGGAAGTAACCCATGACATTTAGGCCTCCAACATGGTCCCACCTTAGCACCTTCTCCACTTTGGACAGGGCCAACCTACCTCCACCTACTCTGTTTCCATGACTCTTTTCCAAAATTATAGGGATGGTCCTAATGTTGGAGTGGACTGGTACTTACTCACCAATGCTTTCCATTCTATAAACATTTGTGGTTTGGTAAAATCTATATGCTTTAATCTGAACTGTCAGTGGGAGGGTTAATTTAATTCAGACCTACGTCCTCACCTCTGGCTTACTACTCCTACACTAGCTGATGGGATACCCAGCTAATTTGCCCAGCTCTGAAGCATCATACACTGTTAATATGACGGCACACTGCAAAACGTCCCGATCTTTCTGCTTCAGTTGAGTTTGCGCACACGTGTCCCAGTGCCCTGACGTTTGTCTCCATGCTCCTTGTCACAGCATGATCTCCTTTTTGCAGTGCAACAGCAGCATCTGTGGGTCCATATGCGGGAGCAGAGAACTCCCAGCACCTGTGCCTTAGCAGTGCGAATATTATACTCCCCATAGTAGCATCCGCAAGCCAAAAGCTTTTTATCCTCATATTACACGCATTGCACACTTCCTCCACATTGTACTCAGCTATGTTCTGCTGGGACAAAGCTGAGAGATATTTCCATCTCTCTGTGCACACTAACATACAGCAGAAAAAAGAGGCTGTGGGATTGTGGGCCGTTCCCTTCACTCTGCAGCTCATTTATTGCTGCTAAGGATAATTCGAGTGCAGCCTAAATCTCGGGTCTGAGTACAGCATGGGACACAGTGAAAAGGTCCAGTTGCTGGCCTCCCTGTGTGAAACAATTTGCTCAGCATGGCTAGTTTTGTGTCTGTTTTTCCCAAGCAGGTGTTAGCTGTCTTCTAAGGATGATGGAGTCCAATTTAAAAAGTGACATCAAAGTGACCTGAAGAAATGAATCCTCTAACAACGGTTCCAACCAGCAGTAAATGGCAGAGACTCCCAATTGGCAGCACATTCAAGTCATTTTATGTGGAGGTCACACACAAAATAACCCTGTTAATTTCATTTGTGATAAAATCGAGTGTTTTTTTAAAGCATGCATCTCTGGAACTTGCAACAAATATAGTTAGAATGCACAAAAACTCAGAATCAGAATAAAATTGAGCACTTTCTAGAATGATATCCTGCCCAGAAGGAGGGTTAATTGAATTCAGCCCCACCTCTGGCTTCCTACCCCTCCACTACCTGATAGGATATCTTTCTCCCTAATCCTTTTTGCCAAGGAAGAAATACTATTAAGTCCAAATGAAATGGGTTTGTTAGCACCAAACAAATGGCCAATCATGCTGAACTGGTGAGTTTCATAGAAACAATAGGATTAGTATTCCACAGTTGCAGAATATATTCCGTCTGGTATATAAGGGCAAAGGATGAGTTATGTAATGTGCATTTCAATTATACCAGGAAAGAAATAATCACAGCAAATGAAATGCCTTCCTGCTTTTTCCAATTCAATCTAGGATGGGTCTAATCGGATTTTACTGCCTTTTTATTATTTTAATGCACGTTCACATTTATTTTGTGATGTCATGTTGGCAATCTGCCAAAGCCAAGTTCATTTGTTTCAAGCAGTAGGTAAAAATACCCCCTCCTCCAAAAGGTGTGCAAGCCCTCAGTTACAGGCACACTCCAACTCTAAGGAGGGCAGAATCAGACCAAGGCGGTTCCGATCCTTTGGAATGGGCCTTACTCTCGGGGAAACGTGCACAGGCTCAAGCTGCACGTGGCAGCGCAAGGGTATCCCAGCACTGTGGTCTGCGCGAATGAGAAAAGGAAAAGGGGAATAGGGATGCAAGTTTTTGAAAGAGTGCTCTTTCCCCTCCTTTTCCTTCTCGCTCACCAGGCAAAAAAAGGGAAACATATTGTTTTAATCCAAAAGGCATCATTGGTGCGCTTGCAGTCCAAGTCTAAACTTCCCCCAGAATCAAGACAGTGAACTATCTGCCTGGATCTAAACAACAAATGATCTCCGCTGGCAACCGGCAGCTACGCTCGCAGCCTCTCCGGGAAGCAGAGGCGGGATCCCCCAGAAAAGGCACCGAGGCAGACGGCTGGCCACTGCGGGGAAAGGCGAAGTCCTGCAGCAGCAAAGTTAAGCGAGCAAGTTGAGCGGGAAAAGCGGGCAGGGAAGGAGAGGAATCGCGCTGCTGCTGCTGCTGCTGCCGCCGCTTTCGCCAAGCATTCTTTCTCTGCTATCGCTTAGCAGGGAAAGGCAAGACAGGTGTCATGTGCTGAAGCAGGAATTACCCCCTGCGCGGGGAGCGGAATTCCATGGAAAGAAACACGATGTATCTATTCATTTGGCTATTCAGCTGCTGTGGCGGAAAGAAGCGCATGTATTTATTCAGGTGGAACACTTCATGCTCAGTTGCACGGACCACGTCAGTTAAGAAGACTGAAAGAACTTGCGATTATACTTACCAAGTCAGTGGCGGATTCAGAAATGAAGTGCTATTAAATTGCCTGAGCAGTTTAGGGATCCCCTTTGCAGCAGGGGGGATAGCCAAAACTCTGTGTACAGTTTCCAACGCCTGAAAGCACTTGCTCTCCCCGCTTCCCGGGCTGCGGTAAATAGATCCCAGAATGAGCGAGAAAGGGGGAAGATCCTCGGGCGGTATCCCTCCAGGTACCAGGAGCCTCCTTCCCCTCGCGCCGTCACTCGAGGCGCGGAGCCTGAATGGGAAGTCGCGAGCGGCGGCGGTCGCCAATTGCGCGGCGCTCCGGCGCGGCCGCCCCGCCCAGGTCCCGCCCCCCTCGGCACGGCGCCGCGGTGCTTGAAGCTTGCGCGGGGCCTGCGCGAGCCGCTCGGGAAGGCGTAGCGGGCGCCACACCTCCGAGGAAGCGCGGGGGGCAGAGCGGGGAAAGGAGCGTCTGAGCCGAGCGGCGGAGGGAGGAAGGAAGGAAGGGAGGCAGCCGCGGGGAAGGGAGAAGAAAGCGCCCGGGAAGGCGTGCGGGGGGCCGAGCCGGGCGCTGCGCTCGCCTTGGCAGCCCCAGGCGTGACCTGGGACCTGCTCGCGGGGCGCGTGCGCAAGGGCGCGAGCCCCGGCTCGGGCAGAAGCGGGCCCCCAGAAGCCGGCTTGGCCCCCACCCACCGACTTGCGGATCGGGCCCGCCGCGCACGGAGGGGTCTTCTGCGGAGCCGGCGTGCTGGAGCCCTTCAGCGCTTCTCGTGCGATCGCGGTACCCCCGCAGCCTGATCCTTGGCAGGTCTGCGCAGGAGGCAGCCCGGAGGACTGGGGGCTGCGGTTGAGCAGGCAGCCTTGCTGGTGGGCATATATACCCGGACGCATGTCCACCTGCTGGGCTGGTACTCTTCGACAGGAATGGCTTGCTGTCAGATTAAGAATAGCCCCTAGATCGAGGTAGAGAAATTCCAGGGGCCAGGGCTGGGCAGGATCTAACCCCCAGCACCTGCTATTCACACACCCCACAGCCATACTCATTTACCATTGCCATGCCTAAGTTCATTTGTGCAGCCATAGCAAACATTAAAATGAAATTGGGGGTTTGCTGCAAGGCAATTTAATCTGTTTCCTCAACACTTTCCAGTTTCTATTGCAAACTACCAATTTTCTTTCCCCCAGTAGAGCTGGGGAGCAAGGGAGGGGGGAATGCAGGTAGCCCAAGTGTTACCCTAGTACCCTTACCTTAAATGAAGTTTAAAAAAATGTCTGCAGCCGCTTAAAAAGAAAGACTGTCACTTCAGTTGTCTGAAAATCCAATGAAATTTATTTATTTATTTATTTTATTTAGAAAACGTATATGCTGCTCCCTTCGCATAAGCCTCGGGGCGGCTTCCAATCATGAATAAATACCATCATACAAATACATAATAGTGGAGACATCCTGGCAAAATTTTAAAATCAATAAATAACATTAACAATTAAAGTAACGTTTAAATAAACGTCTAAAGCAAGTGCAGGCATGCTGCATTTGTTCCAAGCAGGCAAGTGAATGTGCTTTGTGTTCCCAAGAAGAAACCACATATTTAGCATGTGAAGTTAGCCATGCCGGCAGTTGCTGTCAACTAATCGGGACAGAGAAGGCTTGTCAGCAGCAAAACTCTTTTCCTTTACGCTGAGGGACAGAAGGTGGCCCGCTTCCCTTCCCGTTGCTTCTTCCTTGGCTCTCCCAGGAAGCCGTTTCCATCCTCCCCAGCCAACAGGCACAACGGCTGCTCCACGGGTTGAAGGAGAGCGGTTCGCTTCCTAGAGAGGCAACGTTCCTCAACAGCCGGAAATCTTTCCAATGAAAAGAGATTCTCTCTATCCCAACCTCCTGGTTTTACTTTAAGGCTAATCATTTATGCCATGACTTCCAAATAGATGACATTTTCAGTTTCTACCAGAAAGCAGCAATCTTTGAAGGCAGAACTTCACCAGTAATTGAGATCAGCCACAAGGGTCACATCATGTTCAAAGGCAGATCTTTCCTGCAGATTCTCAAGCTCCTCTGCCACACACACACTCCTTTAGTCCAATCCACATCTCTCAGCAGCTGAGGATCCCACTGAATGAGCTTTCCAAAAAGTAAGTTGCAAAAGGCTTCATGAAAGTCGTGGCTCAGCCCCGGAACCTCCTCTTGCGAGTGCTAGGACTCCCATCTTGAAAGAAAAGCACTCTGCACATGGCCAGCGGCATTCACTCATTTCCAAACAGCAGCCCACCCATCCATCCCAAATAATGAATTCAGAGTCAAGCTTTGAGTTCTAAAGTCATGATTCCATGAAGGCTTGAACCCTAACACTGAGCCATGCTTTCACTGAGCTGCTCCCTGGTGATTCCTGACACTCTTACAAATGACTCCCACAACATCTAGGCAGCTATAGCCTTCTTGCAAAACAATATATTCTCAGTCAACCAAAGCGTGAAGTAATAAAACAGTGCACTTCCTTTTTGCTCGTGGAGATGATCTAAATTCAAAATCCTAGGCTTCATTGAATTTGGGCTCACTCCCTTGGCAAGGAAGTGTGGAGACACTTGAAAAGCAGCCTCTTTTCTTACCCATCTTTTGGGTCAGTATAATTTTTCTTTCTCTTCCAGTTCAATCTGTTCAAACATGAGATGTCAGAGCAGTGTGAGCTACTGTTCTGTGGCTGCTGAGCCATGTTTGCTACCTCTTGGGCCAAACCAACCAGACAGGTTCTCTCTTGTTTCTACAACTAAAATATTCTGGAACACATGTTGGGTGTATCACTTTCATTTTTATAAGCAAAAGTGCCAGGTGGCGAACCTGTTTGGAATTTATACACTCTGACCCAGAAGCCATTAAGTGCTAACTGCAGCGGCATGGAGACAAGTTGTAGTTATTCAGTGGTCAAGGAAAGGTACTTTGGACATGCTTTAGAAGTCTTCATTCATATCTGATTCTTTTCCCCAGGAATAAGGAATGGTATTGCAAACAGGTGCTGGGACCCAACTCTGGCATGTAGTACTCACATTAAAAACTGTGATTTGAGAGGAGGGGAGAGGGAGTATTGCAGTCAATTTATCATCTCTGGAATTCATATCTCTGTAGTTCTGCTGCAGCTTGAAGTTATAAATCTATTATATAGCATATTTATGGGAGCTGTTGTCTCCTTGGCAACTTTTTTCCTTCCCAAGTCTGAAAAGTAAAAATATGTCTCAAAGTACCAACTGAATATTACTGTTACTATGATATAAAGAATAGGCCCTTTGCAGACTGCCTGTTTTCTGTGACTTTATCACAGCCTGCCCCAAAAGCAGAACAAATTCCACATTCATAAAAGAAAAATCCCAGGGGAGGAACAAAAGAACTTTACATAATTGTTTACCTTCCCCCTCACTGTCACAAAGGTAATATGAGAAATCTAAGTACTGCCAGTCTAATTAAAAGGTAATTAGTGGAATGTGCTTTTGATTTTTCTCGTTATGCTCCTGCTATTAAAAGGGCATGAAATAGATTTATTCGTCTGTATAGATGCTGGACAAGGCTGCAATCTATTTTAATCCAGTAGGTGTCGCTGCACAGTGAAAAGAGGGTAGATAAAGGAAAGCTGCACTTGCATTGGGAGGGCAAATCTAAAATCTGCTTTGTTTTTAAAAATGTGGCCGCTTTTGTCAGTGGAAGCATTGTGCAAACCAATCATGGTGTGATGAGGGAGTACAAAATAAAAGGATGGAATTGGCACCTTAAGCCTTTCAGTAATTCAGTACTCCTTTGATAAGAGATTTCATTGCTGAGAGTTAATATCAGAAGTTGCATAGTCAATTCCCAGGGTCTGCCTACCTTGTTGCAAAGAAACATATCCAAGAAGAAGAACCTACATGCATCCCAACATGGGACTTTGCAGGCCAAGGCCCCAGAGAAGCTGGTAAGAACAGATACAGTGAGGTGAGGAAGGGAAGAGCTCCCTATTTTCTTCTGCAAGTGTGGAAGTGGAGCATTTGAGCACCACCTAGGAGGAGAGAAAATGCTGGTGGTTTTGTGCATTGTGTCACTCCATCTGGCCTTCCGAGAGGTGCTTCCTCCGAGCCACAGAGCACTCCAAAGTGGCTGTGGTAGCTGAGTGGACAAGATCGAGAGACAAACCCCTGCTTGCCTCCCGTACAATTACTCCTACTTCAGAAGTCCAAGGGCTGAATTCTATGCCAGAAAAGTTCTCAGAGGCCACATTCTAGTAGTGGGTGTGGAGCTGAAGGCAAACAGCGTGGGACCAAATACAGAAACAATCCACACCTTGTAGTTTTGAGTTCTTCCTGCTAGTTTACTAAGCCTGGGGGAGCCATTTCAACCTTTTAGAATGGGGGAAAAACTGTATGAAGGCCAGGAAAGTACCAGATGGTTTCTGGGAAGAGGCTGTGACCTTCTGGGGAATTCCAAAGGGCTACACTGAGGGTCGAGTGTGGGTCTTGCTCCTCCGTTCCTCTTCATTCTACTTCTCTGGCAGAAGGCTTAACCCTCCATCCACCAAGATGGTGGCAGCCAAGATGGATTCCTTCAGTCACTAACATTTTTGATCAATGTACACTGATGATCTAGACACCATACTGAAGATTCTTCAAGCTTGACTGTGGTACAATGAATCCCTGAGAGAAAGGAAAAGAAAGTAGAACAAGAACAGTAAACGAAGGTAAAAATGAAAAGGACTCGAGTCCCCATTCACTCTCTCTGCCTCACACACATAGACCCCTCCATGCAGACAAAGTGTTTGGGACCGTTACCTGCTTCTAAATGTAATTTATGCTGATAGTTCTTTTAAAATGGAGATTAAAAACGAAGCTGACCTTTATCTGTATTCCATAGTTATCATACATTTCCATTAAAGCTTACTTATAATGTCAACCTATTAGCTCACATTGCTGAATATAAATTTTATCTGGAACATTATATGTTGGTTGAACAGTTACTCCAATCCTGCTTACATTTCTGTGGAAATGCCATTATTTTCAAAGAGAGTCATATGCAACCATCTAGGCATTAGCTTTCCTTAGTTAACTGTTTTTGTGATATGACATGGCTAGGATAAATTTATGGAAGCATAAGGTAGAGACTTTGGTCAATTCACGCATGCACATGTATTGTGTGATTATGCATAATTCTCTCCTAATATTGTGAACTGACTGCACTGAAAGCACAACATGGTGTGAATTAATGGGAAAGTCATATGCATTCACACATGCAAGTCCCAGCTTGATGCCACTGTTCTCAGG